TATATATATATATTTGTCATAGGTCTATAAGATCCATCTGTTCCTCCTACCCTAAGGAATGGCTAATGTCATCGCTTCAGTTTTCGTTAGGACGTTTGCTGGTTTTGTAAATATCTGGGCAGCAAAGCTTCCCTTTTCATATCCAGTAAGTATAAACACTAGCTGTCTAGCACACCAACAAAAACGCTCTTTTTTTTTTTCGTTTTCTTCAGAAGTACACTTTTTCATTATTGCAAGTTTACAATTTTAAATTAAATATTTTTTTTTTCTTTTTTTTTCCTCAGACTTACAAATTCCTTATATTTTTTTTTTTTTTTTTTTTTTTTTTTTTTCCCCCCAAGTAATTAATATGCTGTGTTTTGCTGTGAGAAGCCGTTTAGCTTCAGCCATTGTTTTGCCAGAGTTGGCCTTTGTAAATTCAACCTAACTGCAAAAGCTGTGAGGAAAGAGAAGTCTCGCTAGAGAGTCGTCCCTCAAGTTGCACTTTTTTGTTTGTGGTTGCTTTTTTTTTTTTCCTCTCGGTTTTAATAATCGGGAATGCTGAAATCTCTTGCGTCTGTGATTCTTAACTACTCAGACTTGTCTTATATTACAAAAAAAGGGGTTAAGGAAGAAGTGTTTATGTGGGTTTAAGATAATACAGCTGTTAAGGAAGTGGTCTCTTGCTTAAATGAAGAAATGTGGCAACTTGGACCTGCGGAAGAAGTAAAAAATCCCATCAGTCCAGGAGACCCGCGCATCCGTCGCCGCACCCTCCCGCAGCAGCCCGCCCGAAAACCGCCCTCCGAATCGGGGCGACCCGAAAATCCGCTTCTCAGGGGTGGGTCTGCCCGGGATGGGGGCTGGATGGGGGCGCGGGGCAGGGGTCCTGGGGCACGGCGGCAAGGCAACTTCACAGAATCACAGAATGGTTGAGGTTGGCAGGGACCTCTGTGGGTCACCCAGCCCAACCCCCTGCCCAAGCAGGGTCACCCAGAGCAGGCTGCACAGGACCTTGTCCAGGCGGGGCTGGAATATCTCCAGAGAAGGAGACTCCACAACCTCCCTGGGCAGCCTGTTCCAGTGCTCCATCAAAGACGGGCACAAAGACCCCTGTTGTAGCATAGTAGCATCCCCCTGCAGAAAGGCAGGATTAATTAGGCTCAGTTCAGATCTGCTCTAATCTGGCTCTGCTGCTTTCAAGCCCAAAGCTCACACTGCACCATGGTTCTCTTTTCAGCCAGCCAGCCATGTCAAAGTTAAGCCCAGCTCCTTCAGCCTCTCCTCACAGGAGAGATGCTCCAGTCCCCTCCTCATCCTCGTAGCCCTAAACTTGCCTTTTTTACATCTGTCCCATGTGATTGGAGGCATCGCCCATCCCGGGGTGGGGTCCCGCCAGGGAAAGCGGAGGAGGATCTGAAGACACTTTCTCTTCTTCCCTTCTTTTCAGACACGCCGCTTTCGGGTTCAGGTTTCTTTCTGTTGGATGGAAGCAAAAGACAGTTTGAAAATTCACATTTTTATACCTGACTGGTCTGTTTGTTGCGTGGGCACTTCAGATAATTAATTGTTATTTTCCCAGCGGGCTGCAACGCCAGCGCTGCCAACGCCTCCGGCCTCGCGCTTCGCCGAGGAGCAGCCAAGCCCAACGTTGAGTTGGGATCACGCTGACGAGCGCAAAACACGCCGAGGACCGATGGCAGCATGGCCAGGGCCGGAGGAATGCAAGCACCCCAGGTGGCTCTGGGTGCAAGGGTAAGGTGCTGCCCCTTGCCCGGGCACCCGGTGCCCCCAGCCAGGCTCCCCCCCAACCCAGCAAGGAGAGCTCGGCAGGGCCAAACCCGCGGACGGGAGCCAAACCCGCGGCGGGACGCGAGGAGACCCGGCGGCGCGCTGACCTCTGACTTGCTGCTCTAAGCTGAGGATGACGGCCACAGCCTGGTGTAAGATCAGGAGCTTGGTCTGGGGCTTGTCGCTCTTCAGGTGGAGCTGCACCATCCGGCCCAGCTCCTTGAAAGCCTCGTTGATGTCGCGGACGCGCAGGCGCTCCCGAGCGTTGTTGGCCATCCTCCTCTCCTTTTCCCTCTCGGCCTTCTGCTCCGGTGTCAGGTCTTCGTCGTCGTTATTGCTGGGAGACAAAAGGAACACATCATTTTCTAATGATGTGGAAAAAAAAGCGGCGCAAAGATCTTCTTCAACAGCCTTTGGCCAAGCCCAGGGCTACAAGTCACCACCAGACACCTTCTGGGTGGTTCTTCTTTGCTGTTCCACCACGCCTGTGCATCGCTCAGCCCCCTTTAATTTTACACCGAGTAAAGCCCTGGTTTGTAACGAAGCTCTACATTCTGCAAGGCAGGACTTTGGGTATTTTAACTGCCTTCCACCCAGGTAAAATGATGATTTTAAATGGAAAACACACCCACCGGTGAGTCACCGGCACTGTGTCATTGGAATCGGTGATGCAAATGGAGTAATATATTTTCAGCAGCACTAACGTGGATTTAGACGTTTAACTAAATATCAGGAGTAACCTTTTAAAGCTGCAAGGCTGTTAAAAGCAAAAATGTTAGGCTACAAAAGCTCCAAACCCCACGTAAATAGGCATCAGCGACAGCGGATTTGCTGAATTAACCAGAACTGCGATCACCCCCCATCAGCACCAAGGCGCCTTCCTCTTCCCGCATCGTGAACGCACACGAGAGCCCCGCTTCTACACACGGCTACTTCAACACATTGGTTCAGAGAGAATCTCGAGCGTCGTTATCTTCTCTCCCGTCGTAAGAGACGTGAGAGTAATTAACGTCTCCAGCTCCGGCGAGCGCCGGCCTGAGAGGTCCGCGTCGGGGGCCGCTCGGACGCGACTCACCTCGGCGCGGTGGTAGCGCGGAGAACCGGGCGTGGAAGGGGACAAGGCGGCAGG